TCTGAGAGCCCAGACCCTCGCCTCCGCGGCGCGAGGGGGGGTGGGGCCGGGCCTGAACCCCTAAGCCCCTACCTTAACCCCCAAAAGTAGGTAAAATAATGGCCCAAAACCCATAAAAGGCTATTGTTCCTACATACTTAAACCCTCAACCGTGGAGGGGATTGTTGCATGGCCCAGCCTGGCTAAAGGTGGTGGTCTTTACGCTGTTGAATGTTGCCCTGTTCACCAGCAGCAAGCTTCGCATTCCAGCATTCCAAACGGAAGCTCAGTGAAGACTATGGCGGCCGGAGGTTCTTGTTGAAGGGGTCCTTTATTCAACATTCGGGGGTCCATGTGGCAAGGATCTTGATGCTTAGCATATCTATCGGGCTCGTGCTTTAGACATCAGAAACGCTGAGCAGCAAAGGGAGGACGTACAGCTGAATAGTAGGATGTTCAGAGCAGCGCAGCCGCTGTTGACCTGCTTTTACTGTTTCAGTTGTTTGATTCCTCAGCACACGGCAGGATTTTGAAGGAACGAGCTGGGCAAGGAAAAGCACGAAAAACAATCAGCGACAGTTAGAGGTCCACATAGTTGCCCATGACAAGAGTTGACGATAATGTATCCATGCACCGCCCATGTTTGTCTGCATGCACGTGATACTTAGTAGTTCATTGATGGGTGGTCGCCGGGGCCTAGAAAACAGAATCTCGTCTCGGCAGCTCGAACAGGGACCACAGTAAACCTCACATTGCAGAACCGTGTGTTAGCCGTGCATTGTTATGAAGGACGATTGAACGCCGTGCCATGAACGCACGAGGATGCGAGCTCGTCGGAGTCACCGTTTCGACATGTTTCGACTTTTTGCTTCGTGGCAGGAGCCGCCACCTGCTTCCTACGAGCTTGAGCAATCTATGTGGGATGCCGCAGCGTGGTGGCATGCTGTGCTGGTGGAAGACTAGCTTTTGAGCCTGAACCCCTCGACTCAAGAACCCCAGCCCCGCAACGGCTGCCATGTACCAACCCCGCGGAAAGGTTTACGACTTGCTATCCAGTTTTCTGCAAGCGTCCATGTACCCATGTAGTACATACGGCCAACGCAATGCTGTGCGCGTGCACGGACCCTTTGGGTTTGCTTCAGTCTCGTAGCAGTAATGTCAGCTGTAGTCAGCTGTTGACGGCGTTTCTTCTGGAATCCCATGATATTGATCAGGCTCTAGTGTTCAGGCCTCAGCACTTCACTTCTGCCACTTGTGGTCGCCGAGACTAGGCATCGCTAGGTACTGGAACTTCAGCCGCGCACGGCAGGACAACTCTGCATGCTTTAACTGAAACGGATTGGAATGGTGCTGCCTGCTCAAAATACCGTGTTGTGCCTGTGGCCTAGGCAGTGTTGCTGTTCTGTCACCGGACAGCGTGGACCGACAAAGTGATCCTGCTCATAGGACGGCGCTTCTCCTGCGTTCCTGGGAGGGACTCGACTTTGGCAATGCCAGTTCCCGCGACAAGATGTCCAACAAGCCCTAGCAGACGGGGGCATTAAACACGTATGTCTACAAGAACAGCTAGGGTTGTTTTTTCCTGCCTAACTGCTTGATATCTGCCTCAAAGCGGTATTGCAAGCGCAAGCAGCAGCGGCAGCAGAAGCCACCATGATGTTTTCAGTGGTAACCAGGATATCAAATCAAGCCGCCCGAACTCCGGTAGTGACAGCAATGCTCCCATGCTATTGCCAGGCTGGCGAGTAGGAAGTTCATGCCCGACAGCAAGCCTTCCCTTGGAGGAATGATCATCAACAGTGGCTTGCAAATTGCGCTCCTCCTCACGGTCTATTTCGACATGCTTCAAAACCCCTACTCTTCTACGAAGGCCGAGTCCCGTAAACCCCTTTCCCGAATGACTTCTCAGAGAGCATTGTCGGGTTTATGTGGAGGGGTTCGGGGCTACATAGGGTTCAGGGTTTTCCGAGTTCAGGGTGCAGGGCTTACTTCAGACAGGTATTAAGTCAGGGTTACCCTGTTGATGAAGGACACCCACGGGATCTCTCTGCATCGCAGGCTTTCTCGAATTTGGGTTTCCGTCGCTGGCCTAACCTCTGCGATGATGAAGTCCTTTAGGGACCTGTCCTACTGCGGAATTGCGCACGGCTATTATTTACCCTTAAAGCTGTTTGTGCTTTGGCTATTGTGATTGCATGTTACTTATTCCTGTTTGCTGTTGCTACGAGCATCATAGTGCTTTCAAGCAGCCGTAGCTAGCTAGCTACATTTATGTGGCCAGGTGAAGGAGATGGTCCAGTGGCGCGCCTTAAAGGGTCACAGCTACGAGGATTTCGACTCAGACACCGGGCGCCTTTCCCAAAGTTCAGCTGGGCATTTCTGGGCGGTCATTTTACACCCCTAAACCCTAAAGCATGTTGCATGAAACCCTACCTTAACCCCCAAAAGTAGGTAAAATAATGGCCCCAAACCCATAAAAGGCTATTATTCTACATACTTTGGGGGTCCAGGTAAACCCTAAGAGGGAAAAGCCCTGTTGCATCGCGCCGAGGGCTGCCGATGCTTCGTAGGCCAGGAACCGTAGGATCCTGGAGTTGAAGGAGTTTGACGAAGGTAAGAGCCGAGAGGGTTTAGGGTTTACAGGGCGTGGGTTTGAGAGTCAGGTGTCCCATCTCACAGCTGCGTGCGGTTGTGCTGGTATAGTGTTTTTTTGTGAAAGTACCCACACCAAAAAGTCTTCTTGCACGTCAAGAACAGCCTCTCCAGGACCATGGACCTTAGACCTCCACGACCCTCACCATTTCTGAGCAGTTGTGGGCTTCTGCAGACCCGAATCCGGAGAACCGTAGTCGCCGCAGCTTAAGCTTGCTGCGCAATGCCCGGCACAACATAGGTACTCCGTGATCAACCGCCTTTGTTTGCACAAGCTGTGGTCCTTCGAGCAAGAGGAGTACAAGGACGCTCTTCTGATTCTAAGTCAGCACAGCAATGATGCGTTGTTTGGTATCTGGCATATACATCGCCTGCGTGCCCCCTCTTGTATTGGTGTTCCCACACTGCTGATCGCACTTTATGTTGTTCGGTACGTGCGACTTACAATCGTTGTCGTCAGGTGCAAGTGCACATGTGCATGATGGCCGTATCCTCCTCTCTAGCTTCAAATGGTTGTGCATCACAGCTTTCATTGGTGCTGTGACCATGTTATCTATATAGACATAGAGGAAGTCAGCTTCGATGCAGGGTGGCTGTTGGCGCGAGTCGACATATGGGGTTTTGGTGGGTTCAAAAAGGGTTGGCAAAACAGGCTCGGATCGTCCGGTTCCAGTTGTCCGGGAAATTCAAAAGTCAGGGCTTGCACCAGGCGAAGATTTCAGAAGCATACAACTCATACAACAACATTGTGTCGGACAAGGTTTCGCGGTGGGCTCGCTCGAAGGTGATTGCGGAGTTTTGGTTCAGATTTAGAGGTACTTAAACTGAGGGTGTCGAGATCCTTTGCCCATCAAAACCACTGTACATGCTGCTGCAGATAATAAGGTGCCAGCTACAACAACAAATGAATAAGTAAGGGCAGTAGTCACGAACATGGCAGCCACAATAGATAGTATTCCGTGGACTCATTAGATCGGCTTGTCCTCTTTGTCCCTTCGAAGAAGCCAGCGTAGAGCCTCCCGACTAAACGATGGCCTGTACCAGTAAACAAGTAATTGCAAAAATCGACATACCTATTCACCTAGGTAGCCTTAGCTAGCTAGCTTGCGAGCTAAGGCTAGCTAACTGCTAGCTAGCTACCTGTCTACCGACCTACCCGAGCACCTACCTACCTATATGCGACGCACATAGACATACATGCAGACATACGTAATCATACGTACATACATACTAGCTACTCATACATACGTACGTACTTATGTATGTACATGCATGCATGCATGTATGTATCTGTACGTACGACAGACAGACACACACACAGACGGAGACGGAGACAGAGACGGAGACGGAGACAGAGACAGACAGACATACAGTGCGCAAGGATGTCTTCTTACATATATGCCTAATGGTACATGTACAATCAGCATATCACAAGTCTGCCTGCAGCGAGGGAGGCATGGAAGCGAAGGGAGGAGTGCATCCTTTCCTCAGTCCGATTCACGTGAGACCTTCTTGCTTGCTTGGTCTCGA